AGAGAGAGAGAGAGAAGAGTAATGAGTACATACAGTCAGGACTAAACCCTGGATAACTAGTTTGGGTAGAGGGAAAGAAGAGGCAAAGAATAGGATTAAGAGGAATCCACCCAGAACTACCATGGCCCAAATGGAATAGTTAAATTTCTTCTTAGTAGCTTACACGGTTCTGTGTTTTGGATTTGTGCTGAAAACAGTGTTGATAACACAGGAATGTTTTAGTTGTTGCTGAGCAATGCTTACACAGAGCCAAGGCTTTTTCTGCTCCGCACACCACCACACTAGTGAGGAGACTGCTGGGGTGGTGCGCGGCACAAGAAGCTGGGAGGGGACCCAGCTGGGACAGCTGACCCCAACTGACCACAGGGATATTCCAGACCATATGACGTCATGCTCAGCATATAAAGCTGGGGGAAGAAGAAGAAAGTTGGGGGGGAATATTTGGAGTGATGGCATTTGTCTTCCCAAGTAACTGTTACACATGGAGCCCTGCTGTCCTGGAGATGGCTGAACACCTGCCTGCCCATGGGAAGCAGTGAATGAATTCCTTGTTTTGCTGTGCTTTTGGACACAGCTCTCGCTTTACCTGTTAAACTGTCTTTATCTCAACCCATGAGTTTTCTCACTTTTACCCCCCCCAATTCTCTTCCTCATCCCACTGCGGGGGACCGAGCGAGCAGCTGTGCAGGGCTTAGTTGCCAGCCGGGTGTGACGGATGCACTCCACTCCTCGACCAAACTAGGTGGTAGTTTGGTTCAGGTTCCAAAGGAAATAAAGGCCTCTGGCTCCGAGCCAGGCCATGAACTTCTCTAGCTCCAACCTGTTCTCTGAAAACCCACAGAGGAACAGGGTGACATGGTGAACACTGATGCATATGAGTTTGGAAACTGGAACACTGATCATGTGATTAACATATGAATAGCCAGTTGTTCTTCCAAGACTAATTTGTCAAGGAACACAGAAAGTTGTGGGTACAAGGAGTCTCACGCTGACCTTTTCCATCACATGTAATTTGACTGCAAGCCAACCACTTTATTCCACAAATCTGACAGCGTCAGTGAGCTTTTTATAAGCTCTCTCTGCTAAGCAGCAGTCTGCACAGTGGTGATCTCCCCTTGAGCTGGGACACCTCTCAAAGTTACTCCTGAAGGCTGAGAGATCCCTTACCAACTGCAGAACTTCGGTAAGCAACCAATATCACGCATAACTTTGTATTATTGTGTATAAAAATTTGTATTGGTAACTTTGAATTATTATTATTATTATATTCTCTCTGCAATAAGTAATAGAGTGAACCTTGCCACAGGGCTTTAAGTCTCACTTACAGCATCTTACTTCAATAAAGCTACTTTCGCTGCTACCTTTGGCACTGGTCTTTAAATGGTCTAAAATCTCCTCCGTGACAAACTGATGTAGTTGTCAGATTCTAAATCTGCTCCACGACACCAGGGTTAAACCACAATGCAAGTATAATTCCCTACAAAACAATGTAAAATATGAGGGTGTGCTGATGGAGATGCTTTCCATTTAAGCTGCTCACTGAAATCAAGGCCCACCAATACAAGAGTCACTATACCCATCATCTTTCCCTGCCCACTTTTCCATGTCCCTGGATCAGCTATATGTTCTGCCATTTGTAAACCAGATGGGGAAAACTCATCTGCCCTGGGGGAAGGAGAGATTCCTTATTTATTTCTTTTCCTGCATTTTTCAGTTAGATCACTCTCTCATCAAAGAGGACTTGGCCACCCAAGGAAAAAGGCAACATTTGATCTGAGAGAGCAGAGCAATCCTTGCATGTCCAAGGAAGCAGGACAATGCTCAGAATAGAGGCAAGACTTCCTGAATAATTTAAAAGGCAATACATTTCAAGGACAGTGTATACATGTTAAATTTGCATAGAAGCCACAGACACCTCCAAAAGGGAATCTGACTGGAGAAGCCAGCATGCATCATCAAAAACAGCCTGATCAACACAAGCTGAAAAAAAAGAATTTTGCTTTCCTGCATTTGCCAACAAGGTCTTTGTCAGGGAAGTGGTTATAACAAACCATCCAGACACAGAGAAAGCCAACTGTTCATACCGAATCTCACTGCAAGGAGATAAGGTGTGTTCCCTCCCCTCCAGCCCATCACCACTTTGGCACCTCTGTTATGGACATCTGTAGCTTCACTGCCCTACTTGACACTGTAGAATTCAAGCACAAGTGTCTGCTTGATTAACCTTCCTGAGTAAAGGGGAGTGGGTGGAAGCGTCTCCACACATTTCTTCAGCAGTGATTCAAAGCACAGGATGTGGACTCACCTGTTCTCCATATTCAACCCACTGGCCTTGGTCATTCTTCCAATACCAAATCCACTGTGTAGTCAATGCAAATGTGGGTTTTGTGACTGATGATGGTGTAGAGAGGCGGCGAAGTGAAGAAGAACAGCAGGTCATTGTCTGGAAATCAATGTTCTTATCTGCTATTCTGTAAGGACAAATTCAGGTTTATTATAGTTAACAATGTATATTTTATCCTCCAATCCCTAGTTTAAGCTAGTGCAATTTTCTTTAATATAATGTAACTGCCTGAACTTATTTAGGCCTGAAATAAGAGTATTTCCCACAGCATGCATGGTAGCTCTGAGAACTGTTTCCAACCTTCAGAAGTGAACTATGGCCTGTGAGACACTGAGTGCCATCTCAATTGCGAGCCAAATGTTGCACTGTCAGCTTTACAGACAGCCTGGGGCTACATGTACCATGTGGCAAAAGGTATTTCTGCAATAAAGAAGCATGGTTACAGGTTTTCTCAGTACAAAACCAGAAGCTGGTACGTATGTGACTGAGTTTGCCAGCAAACACTTGCAGCTTATCAGCTTTGTTCTTTTTCTGTGGTTACAGAGGATGCAATCACAGCTGTGAGTTCTGTAAATAGTATTCATTGCTGGAGCCACCTGGGCACTTACTCCTGGGAGGCTTGAAAAATTAACTCTCAGCCAGAAAGATTTTGAAAGCAGCCTCCTCGTGGGAATCTTGCTTGGGAATAGCCTAGTCAAGCTGCAAATCAAAATCACCTGCTGTCTGAAGAGGCATGGGACAAAATGACTATACCATTTTATTGAGGCCAAACTTTGGGTCCCCTATGAATCCAGGTGGCTTACAGTGGGCCTTTCAGAAATCAGTTAAAGGGAAAATGTGCTCACTTAAAAAAAAAAAAATAAAAAAATTAAAAAAAAGGGCGGCTTACTCAAAAGAGCATTTCATAAAATTTCTCTAGGCACATTATAGATATTATTGTATTATATTATTATTATAGATACTAGCTGTATTAGGAAAGGAATAGCCATAGAGAAGGACCAGCTCTGAACTGTTGTTAAAAGGTCCAATTTAATTATTATAAATAAATGATGATTAATTATCTGAAATACTAATATCCTAAGCACTAAATTCTACCCCGCTTCTTTTTACCCTGTAGAGTTCTAAATGCAAGATAATGTTGTGTTATTTTTAGAAGATAAAAGTGGGGTGATATTTCCATGCAATCACTTTTACTTTTCTTTTTAAAAAGGAAAATTCTCATTCATACATCCTCCCAGATTCTGAGAAGCTCGGTAACCAGAAGTTACGGAAGTCAGACATCTTTAGGAAGAAAACAAGAGTTTTTCCTCAGGGGCTCAACCACAGTTGCTCTAAGCAAGCAGTCCAGCATCATTATACCTGCTGTTTTTTGGGTCACAATAGGCCTTTTCAATTTCCTCCATCATGGAAAGGTCATTCCAGGTGATCCCATTATATACCTGCCATCGATATGGCAAGTGGTAATGAACAAATCTGCATTTATCTGTAATGAGATCAGACATAATCAAGAGCTCTGCAATCACAACACAGAGAGCAAGACAAGAAAAACAGAAGGAACAAGCATTTTTTTTTTTTACACTCTGGCTTTATCTCCTGGGTTTTGGTATAAGAAATTGTGTTGGGTTTGTGTGGTGGGGTGTTGATAGCAGAGGAGGGGCTACAGGGGTGGCTCCTGTGAGAAGCTGCTAGAAGCTTCCCCAGCTCCAAGTTGGACTTGCCTCTGGCCACCCATCAGCTATCACAGAATGG